GCTTTAGCTGCTTGCAGAAAGGTGAACTGATGGTGGTTGTCCTGACAGGGTTCCTCAGGCCCAGGTGGCCCCCTCAGCCAGGGCTCTCGTGGTTCCTGGTCCTGGAGACCAGAGCAGCCCCAGAGCCCTCTGTGTCCCGGGTCAGCAATGCTCATCAGCGGCAGCCTCCTAGGGAGGACAGGGACATGCAAGGAGCTGTGCCATGAGTGTTGCTAACTCTTAAGGAACTCGTTTCCTAGAGAAACAGCGATCCATTTGAGCATTGCTTAGGTGACTTCCATGATGGAAGGAGTAGTTCTTTCTCTTGCTGAAGAATACTGAAAGTAGCTGAAATTCTTGTGTGTTCTGTAATTCACCTTCTTTCTTCATGCTACAGTATCTCACTCTTGTGGAATTCAGTGCTGGCTACCAAAAGAACAAAGGGAAGATTTGGCAAAAATGGCAGCACTGAAGGCAGAGGTACAATCCAAAGGTACTGATGGCCAAAACTCTCAACTTCCTAAGCTTAAAGGATGTGTGTAGCAAAACATTGAATCAATACGGACTATTTCTCTTATAGATAAAAAATTATTGTATGAGCAATGAGAGTTATTTTTAGAAGGCCTTTTACGAATAGGTAGTGCTTTTTTGGCTTTGGCATTGGGAATTTTGTTTCTTATTCAGTCTGAATTCTGTGATGGGGTGAATGAAGCTAAATGAGGTGGATGCTTTTTGGAAGAAAAAGCAGAACAGAAGCAGATGGTGAGGGAGAGAAAGCAAAAATAGGAAACATGAAGCAAATGTATTGTTAGAGATGCTGTTTTTCTGTAGTGAAAATGCGCTAGCTTATTGGTTTCATTACTCTGCTAGTTTGACTGTCCAACTTTTTTTTACTTCATGTTTTCTGCATGAAAGTTTTTATTGCATGTTAGGTACTAGCATAATTTAGTTGCTTTTTTAATATAAAAATTATTATTAATTCTTTGCAGATATGACGATAACTTAGATGAAAGACTGAAGATATAAAGCTTGTAAAAGAACTGAAATGTGATGAATCATCCTCAGCAGTGATCGATAAATGTAAGAAATTCTACTTTTGTATCATGTAGTTTACACAGATCAAGGTGCAATGAGAATGTGGGTCTTGCTAGTTTTCTGCACAGCTAATTTTTTTCTATAGTAGTTCCTGTTTTGTATCACGAAGGCTGAAATGACTGGGAGCTCACTTTTGAAAATTAATGTGCTTTCTGAAAGCCTACACCTTAGACCTCTGTGTCAATCTATCTTTTGTATCCTGTTCTTAATAAATTGTATTGTTCTGAAAGCATTAAGGATTTTAACACAAGCAAAGATTCTTGCTGCAATGAATTATGTGGTGATAAACCTTGTAGTATTCAACTTGATTCTTAGCACTCTTTATTAAATAGTTGCCATTGATTCCTGTTTCAGATTAGAAGGGAAACAGACTGGTTAAAGGTATTCATGATGAAAGACTTGGTCTTTGGGAGGGGGGGCTAATTAATATCACTGCTGTGCTGTATTTTTTAATGGGGTATCAGTATTGGAACATGGAAATATATGACTTTGTGGTAGTGTCATAAATCACTTTTTGTCTAGCAATAACACTTTTTGTAAAAAATGGCTCAAAAAGCAAAGTGAAGAATCACTGCAGTAGGATATTATGAAGCTCAAAATATTAAGTAGAGTCTAAAAGGGATTCAGTTCATGGAGTCTTCCCATGCCTGCCTAACATAATGGTTCGGATTCACCCTCTATGCCTTCAAAGTCCTTCAATCACTGATAACTGGAAACTGGGAGAATAAACCAGATAAAGGATCAAGCATTCTCATGCATTCTGGAAACAGTGAGATAAACTTGGTCTCTGCACAGTTTTTATTGTATATAAATCACTTACTATATGAAGAAGTTTGCATTAGAATTTTCAGGGAGCAGTTTCTCAATCCTGTCTCACAAATATATATATAAAACATGAAATAAATGGGATATTTAAACATATTGCTGGGTTTACTGATTGCTCTTGTAGCAAAATAGGGCATTTTATATTGAAAATTACATACTTCAGGAGCCAGTGGGCTTCATAAATTTGTAAGGTACCTTATTGCTATGCTTACATTTGGAAGCTAAATATGCAGAGGCTCAAAGAGAAGTTTGTTCCAGAAACTAATGAAGCATAGTAAAATCTTTATCAGAAGAAAGATAATAGTATAGCCAGGATTTTCAGTGAGAAGTTGATGGTAAGAGGAGAGAGTGAGTTTCAGCATTGTAGCAGAGGCACTGCTATATAAACCTCTGAAATTCTTTCCTGCATGGCTGCAGTTGCGGTTCAGGAGGAGGCAGTGTGCTGCACCTGGTGCCCTCAGATACATTTCTCTGCATTGCTGTGGAGGAAAATGAACCTTAACCTTTGCTGAGCCTGGGGTATTGGCTTTGAAATTTCATTCCTAAGTGGCAGCTGCTGCCGCTTTATAACATACACTTCATTGTACTGGGAATGTGTGTTTATTAAAGGACTTGGGTGAAACAATCCAGGGGCAAAATATTAACCTTACTGACATGGACATCCAAGTGGTAAAATCAGCATTAATGTAAATATTGGTGGGATTAAAAGCATTCCCTTGCTGTGTCTCTCACACAGCCAGAGTCAGCTGAAGCAGACGGAATTGATACTGGCTAGCACTTACTTCATGAAAGGAACAGAAAAAAACTGACAAATACATTAACTTAAAAACTTCGATTTTTTTTCTTATCTATTTATTCATTATTGAGAACACAGACATGCACCTTTATGTTTAAATGCTGGTTTTGACTTTAGCAGCATGCACAACACCAGTATCTTGTTTAACTTACTAACTTAGCGTGAAAGGCGAGTGGCTGCATGCTTGCTTTTGTTTCAGAATTACTTAGTAGAAGTATATGTTATTAGTACCCCCCTGCTTCGCCCAGTAGCTTTTTGATTTCAAGATAAACAGAAACTTATAAGCACACAACAGCTTGTAGTGGTTAACACAGTTGCATTAATTTGAATGTGAGTCTACTTATACAGACAATAACTGTATTTGTGAAGGCAATCAGATGAAATAAGCACGAAAAGCTGCTTAAATAGTCATATTTAATTGGAAACAGTATGACTAAGTATGTATTTTACAGAAATAATGGTGATAGAGGAGGTGATAGAGGAGGAATTACCTCATATTTAAATGAAACTGGTAAAATACACGGGATTATCTTTATATACTCTATCACTGAGAATTTGTGCTATTTTGAGAGAACCTGTAATTATGCTATGATAAATCTTTTAAAACTTACTTTTCTATTAACACACACTAAAATGTGTCATGACAATCTGCTCACATACTGTTGCTGTAAGTGATAAAAGATAGTGAAATATATTTCAGGACATGATGGCTTTTTTCTTCAGTTCTTTATTTTCAAGTTATGTAGATGTAGTTGGACACAAAAAAACAAAGAAAAGATTTTGTTTTGGTTATTCAGCTGATTCAGCAACCAAATGTTTCTATAAGTCTTCAGTCACCTACTAGTTCTTGAGCTAACTTGTTTGACTCGTTACTGTGAGTCTACCAAAACTGACAGTAGGAATAATAAAAAATAAATTGGCAGATGCGATTGTCCCTCGTGTTGTTTAGATAAAACTATCCATGAATATTGCTAGCTAACCTTTAGTTATTTATTTTTTAGTCTTTTATTCAAAAACGTCTTTTTAGTCCTTTAAAAATGCAGTATATGGAAGCAGAAGTGCGTGGGAATGCTAAGAAACTGGTAGGACGTGTGCTGTGTACGGCGTGGTCCTTGTAATACATTGTGACAAGGTGGATTCCAAATTTACGCTGCATTTTGTTTCTCCCTGTGCCACTGACGTAGCGTTTCCCTCTCCCCAGGTAAGCCAGGTAACCCTTTGCAACGGGCTCTGCTCGGCAAAGGAAGATTCGGGTTTTGGCTCTGAATCTGCCCTTTCGGAAGGTAAAGTAATCATACGGTATTTTTGCAGTTCATGCTGGGAATTGTCGCTTGGAAAAGCAGTGCGGTTTTTCTTGTTTGTAACACGTTTACTGGAGTTCGTTATTAAATGAATACTTAAAAAAAGCGTCACCTGCTTCCTCTCGGCTTCCGCACCTCGGGGACCGCGGCTGTTACCTCCGCCTCCCTCCCAGCTGTAGCTCATCGCGTGTTTTAACGTTTAGAAAAGGCTTTGAACCGCTTTCCTTAAAACCGGCACTTGACCTTTAGAGAGCCAGCCTTGCTGTCGTCACGTGACACCTGACGCACCACTGAACGGGGCCCAGCCGCGCGCGCGGGACGCTACTCGGCTGTGACGACGCGCTCCTCTTCCGGCTGTCGCAAGCGCGTCATCACGCGCGCGTCGGTCACGCGCCCCGTGTTTATCCCCCGTCGCTGCCGGTGAGTGAGTGACCGACGGATCCGAGCCCGGCGGGGGCTGCCCCGGGGGAGGGGATGTCGGCCGGGGGCGGGGGC